GCGTTACACACCCATGCGAAAAGGCGTCGGCATGCAAATTCAAGATTATTGAAAACAAGATATTGGAGACAACCTGTATATCAAAAGATTCGCCTTGACGAGCTGAATACAATGTTGTTTTCGGATTTTGAACATACTCATTCGAAAAGAAGTTATGGCCCTGCGTAATTTGCGTGATTCACATGAATTTCGCGGAATTCCCGGAAATTTTGCATGTTCTGTGAGTGGTTTTGTACTATAAGAGATAGAGCGATAACTCACACAGCGTTTTCTAAAGTACATTTCTTATTGTATATCAAAAATGATCCAATTTTGTGTCGTCAGTGATAAATGATAAAATGATGATATCAATGACAACGACAGATAAGAATGGCTTAAATTCATGCGGTCGATTTCCACGTTCATCTTCCATACAGGTGCAGAATTTCAGCCCAGGCTTCGGCGTGAAGCGAGTTGAAGCAAAAATGCCATTCTAGGTAAGAATTGGCAGCAATGGCATGTACCGATGAAAAATCGATCGATTGCTGCAGCGAGGGATCTACCAATTGCACCGAGCAATAGATAGAACTAGAAAAGCCTGTAGATCACTTATAATGAGAGAAAGAGCGATAGAAATTCACACAGCTTCTCCTACAGTTCTTTCCTTACCATATGCAGAAAATGATCCAAAAATGTGATATTATCAGTGATAAAAGATAAAATGCTTATATCAGTGATAAGGGTAAATAAAAACTGCCCAATTTTTCGCGATAGTTTTCGATAATGAAAACTTAGTACCAGAACCTGCTATTCGTGACTTACGCTGTGATAAATGTTCACAAAAGCCTTAACATAGAGAACACAAGGTATCATTGTAAGTCTACCCCCTCACCACGAATTACGGACATACTGTATATCAAACGATTCGTCTCATCAAGCTGAAGCCAAATCTACACGCAGATTGCAAATAATTTGGATTTAAAAGAAGTTATAGCTAAATCCCGCAAGTCCCGCAAATCCCGCGAATCCCGTGAAGTCGCGAATCCCGCAAACATCGCGAATCCCGAAAATCCCGCAATTTTGGACAAATTCCACGGCCACAACTGTACTATTTGAATTGCGCCAAAGATAGAGAAAATGAAAACTCAGCCCCTTGCAATTCTTAGTTGTATGCAGACAGTTACAATGTATCTGAACCCACTTACTAGCGACTCGTAGGGTCGCTACGGCCGCAGGATATTTTTGCCACCAATTCCTTTTTTCGAGGCTTTAGCTCCTACTTCGCGAAAATCATACTTCTGCTTCTAAAGGCAAATAAGCAGGGAGCATGGTCTCGACGGAAGGAGCCCATGGGCTTTATAGGGCAGTACATTTTTGCTAAGAAATTCTTGGTTTCATTGTCAAATTATAGTAAAACTTGTTTGCTATTCACTTTTGGCCGCTCCTGTTTCGCAGAAATTGTACTTCTGCTCAAAGCTTGAAAAGCGGGAGCTTGGTCTCGAGGGAAGGAAAGACCAAATAAGTCCATCGCGGGATATTTTTGCTAAGAATTTATAGCTTCTAGTGCTGAATTATTAAAAAAAACCTGCTCAATCCACTTTTGACCGCTTCTACTTCACGAATATTGTATGAGGGTGTCCCATAACTTTTTACCATTTTTACCCTAACCATAGCATTTCTAGAGAACTGTGGCACTTACAAAGGGGCAAATACATGATTGTACTTGTGTATGTCTGAGCCATATAATCACCTGTGCGAGAGGAGCTCAGGACGTGTA